TAAAACACCATGGTGAGTGAAACCACACAAATGGGGAAATTGACCACATAGAATGGTAAACATAACTTCGCCAATGGGTACCGCAACATTTGAAATAGTAATATTAAGTATACGAAGAGGTCATAAAAAGCACGGTAAAATAAGTTTATCCGGCAGCTGTACCCACAATTATGGTAAGATTTTACACGTTATTCTAAACTTACCTTTGTGATTACAGACGTGATAGGTTGGCAACGTCAGTTTTGACATTAAATTTCAAAATGGATATCCACAACATTGACTAATTGAAGTAACCCTTACTACGTTCTTCTTACCATGTTACGCTGGTTACCGCAACCTCCCACCAAAAAACAAAATGCCTTACCGTGCATTACAAATTATTAGCAGCATTGATACAATGCGTGATTACATGACTATTATTAAATACAATATGTGAGGTAACTACAATACGCAACACTAAGGATGTACACGCATCAGGAGTGGTTACATCGCTCTGCGCGGCGGCACGCGAGTGCGCATGCGCACTCGGCTCGCAGAACTTGCGCTCGATACCAATATGAGAGAGTAATTTTGAATGCACTAATAACCCTTAAGTGGATATTTGTGTTCCCGGATGCCGAACAACAGTCTCGAGGGAGATCTCCGCGAGGACCTTGAGTAGTTCGCCGGTATATATGTGGAAGAGGAGCACATATGTACACGACCTGTATTCTTCGGTTTGTTGCCCGGGTTGGGATTTCGCTTCCCGGCAAGCATATCGCATTACGTACTCGATATACTTACCCGAAGGCAGCTCTAAAATATTTCCCCGCAGCGTTATTCGAAGAGGCCGCGGAAAGGGAGCGGAATCGCCGTCGACCCAGAAGATCCGTCCGGGAATTCGCTAAGAAAATGTCGAACGACCCAGGAAAGGGGGTAGAGAAGAGACTCCGTGTAGAAAAACATTTACATATTTATATATATAAAATATAATACAATTTGTTACAGTTACAGATGATAGTGTAGCGTTTAGCCGTTAGGTTTAAGTGTAGATCGTTAAATCTAAGAGCTGCTTGATAGGGTAGGGCGGCTGGTACGTACGTAAATTATAAAGTTATAAGACTCTATGTAGTTACCTATTTAATATAGGTATACTCGTAGGTACCTATGGAACTATTAGATGCGTTTAGGTCTATAACTATATACAGGACTTACTATGTACACATACGCTACTCGCTCTCGATCCTTCTCGCTCTTTCGCGTGCTACGGTCCCGTCGTCTCTTGTTTTCTCATCTTTCAAGAGACGACGGTACCTAGCGACTCTTAGACCTCTACATACAATACGTACAATATCGGTCTTCTCGGTTCCACCATATTCTTCTTCGTCGCTGATCTACTCCCGACTCGACGTGAGGGGTAAATAAAAAAGTGAGATTATTCCTGACAAAAAAAAATTTTAATGTCAATCAGTGACTTGGAATGGAGTCCGGAATCCTTTCACTGGAGCTTGGTCATTGACACAAGTCGCGTGCTCCATTTTTCCGAACTTTTGCGTTACTTTAACCGATCGGTCTTATCTTCCTTCGGGTCTTGTTGCTGATATGGCGAAAGCGAGAAGCCGTATTTGAAAAGAACTAACATACACACGATAGAAGATCGCCGAGTACGGGCGCGCAGTTATCATCTTCTATCTAAAGTAATTCCAGTACCTAAGTGACATTTTTTGCGCAAGTGACACTTTTGCTGATTGTTCTGGTCATATCACCGGCAAGTTCCCAGTACCCTCCTGCATCGCTCGTTCCGCAACTTTGGTCGGGTTAATCTCGGTAACGACACCGTATGCCTAATGACAACGAAGCTCTCATCGCGCGTACCTAAAGCGTCCCCGAATTGGTGGAAAGAAAATAAGAAAAGAGAGGATAGCCCCGTGGAAAAAGATATCAGTTGACCGAAAGAAATATACACCGTGGCAAGGAACAATTGTTTCCTCGAGAGATGAAAATCGACGTTGACCTAAGAAGGAAGGTACCTGAGGTGTCCCCCTCCGATTTTGTTCATTTTTAAATATGTTATAGAGGACTAAAATCTAAGAGACCCGTGTTTTTTTTTTTTTATCGGCGGATAAACACTTTTAGGGGGTGAAATCAGGCTTCAAAGTTGGCCGTCCAAGGGGGTGAGTTGGCTGTTTCATATAGAAGCACTCGACCGATTTTCATGAAACAACCGTCAAAATGTAGGGAATGAAGAATTATGAAACATGCATTTGGAATTTTTCGAACAAATTCATTTTTAAGGGGTGAGCCACCCCTTTGAATACTTCTTTTACCCCTTACGCGAGCAGTAATTGCTCTATCCAAATGAAACTTGGTTAATTTATAGACCAGAACAATACAAAAAAAGTTTCATTAGGATAGAACTATTACTGCTCGCGTAAGGGGTAAAAGAAGTATTCAAAGGGGTGGGTCACCCCTTAAAAATGAATTTTTTCGAAAAATTCCAAATGCACGTTTCATAATTCTTCATTCCCTACATTTTGACGGTTGTTTCATGAAAATCGGTCGAGTGCCTCTATATGAAACAGCCAACTCACCCCCTTGCACGGCCAACTTTGAAGCCTGATTTCACCCCCTAAAAGTGTTTATTCGCCGATAAAAAAAAAACACGGGTCCCTTAGATTTTAGTCCTCTGTAACATATTTAAAAATGAACAAAATCGGAGGGGGACACCTCAGGTACCTTCCTTGTGAGTAATGGCATTTATTCAATATGAACATTTCTTTGGAGGTGATTAATCGCAGGATGTTATCAAAGTGGATATTTCTTCGAGTCGACCAACTTTTTCCTCTCAGTGGAGGGACCTCGAAAACGAGGGTGAAAACGAGAGTGACTTTGCACGGTTTAAGGAAGAGGGTGGCTGCAAGGAAATTCCAGATGACTAAGGGGAACGATTATACAAAAATATTAAAAAGGTGCTACTACGTGTTTACCGAAATTTCGTTTGAACCCCTGACTAACTCGCAGGGCCCTCTCTTGACAGACTCGAAAGTAAATCGCAAAGCGACAATTGGCAGTTCGATGGGCGATTCGATATACGTACACGTGGTTACTTCTAGCCCTCGACTTATCGGTTTCATTTTTATATCTTTTTCTTTTAATTACCGAGTTGATTGCCCTACGGCACTACACACACAGATCCCCTATAACATTTACGAATAATCGCGTATTAAATTGTAAAATATCACTACGTATTAATACCAAGTAGTCGCTACGTGAACAGCTACGCACGAGAGGGAACTCTCTCATCCTTATCATTTCTTGGGATAGAAATTTATCCTGGGGGGGTAGGGATCAGTCTAACACCGAAATTGGAATTGGTGGACAGTGGCGAGTGATTGCGACTCCGTTCTCGAAATTATGCAAGAATTACCAGGCTCCCGTTAAATAATGGAAACGTTAACAAAGGACGCCGCCCAAACGCGCGCCGATAAAGAAAAAACCTTCGACTCGTATCCATGAAGCCGCAAAATTCCACGCTGACAAAAATGCCCACACAAATCAACACTCTCTCTGTAACACCGCATTCAACATCCGAGTTAATGGAAATTATAATTGAATGTCGCATGTAATTAAAAAATCCGGTGATACGGTAAACACGCCATGTCACGTGTATGTACACATTTTCCAATTTGTAATTCTGCCATTTTACGTATTTCTATGTGAAACTTAAGTTACGAGGTGTGTAGAAATGCATGTCAATTTACGTCGGTTTTTGTCAGGGTATGTTTAGTGAAAAATTGCCGTAATTTCGTGTAATTTCGGAAATCGTTACCTGGTTGGCAGAGCCAGTGCACGTCAGCCTCCAAGATCTCGACCTCGGATGGGCGCTGAAGAGAACCTCGAGATCAAAAGAAATCCCTCGATCCCGAGGTTCTCTTATCTCGCAGCAGGTTTGCGCGATTAGTCGGTCATCTCTCGAAATCGGATCTTGCACGCCAAGGGATACTTAACTCCGAAACGCAAGGGGCGACTACGTTGTTCAGTCGTTAGGGCTTCTTGTTAGCCTTTTTCCTGCAGACTTTCGCGACCCCGTCGCGTTCGTCCATCCCTAGGTCGGAAAACCTAAATATATCGAGCACGCGAATCGCTGGACAACTCGGTTAAACGGGGTCGGAACGAGCAAACTCTGCACGCGGGTGCAACGGATCGAGTGTCATCCTCGAAACAAAGATCTCTCTCACTTAGCGAAGAATTTAAATAACAATAAATTAATCTCCCTCGTCCGCTGGGTTCGAGGCGGACGGTCCATCGAAAAACTGTACAGAATTATACACAAACAGTTGGCGAATATAAATCTTGGTCAAGACACCTCGGCTCGAACGTCGAGCGAGCTGTGCGTGTAGAAAAGCGGAGTCGACGTAGGTAAAGTTAAAGGCCCTTACCGTTTGCCCATCAACCAATGTTTATATCGGAAAGCTCGTCGACGACTTATAATAAAATATACAAAACGTAAGCAAGGAGCCAGGGCAAACCCGGGTAGTCGTCGTTTCGTCCCCGAAGGACCGTAACAGAGGACAACGCGAGGTTTGCCCGGTTCCTGGGCAGCAAATAAACCAGCCAACGAGTACCAACTACTCTCCAATCTCCTTTGCAAGGAGCACGCGAGACCGGCAGTACGGTCAAGACTTCCGTAACGTCCCTCGGTGGGGATTACGGAAGAAGGAGGCGAGCGACTAATACCGCCTCCCCTGGGGAGCCTTATTGCACGTGTACCTCGTACAACCGACAAGTGGTGCAAGAAGAAATGAGGAAATCGGCGAGACGTCGCCGGAGCATTTCGAGATCCGAGTTCAGGGTAGGCGATCGATGGCCGAAGACCTCCGTCTAGGAGGGTCGGCAACATCGAGCCCGAGGAAAGGAACCTCCTGGGTCCCTCGAAGAGGTCCCTGTTCAGATCGCCAACCATGAACCGCGAGGTCGCACCAGGTCGCGACTGGCGAACGTATGTTAGGTACCGTTGGTGCTCCCGCGACGTCCCGGAGCTAGGGCGACGTCCACACCCTGGGGAACGTTGGTAACCCGACGTCCACCTCGTGGGTCGGGATACTTACGTGACCCGGTGGAGGGCGCGATCGAAAGTCGCGGAGAACTTGAGTTGACGAAAGTCCGCCGACCAGCCTCGCGTTCACCTGAAGGCCGCGACCACCACGGCGACGATCAGGGCGACGGACGTCGACTTGACCCCGGAACCCCCAGCAGCCGGACCTTCGCTGCTGCGAGACACCTTGCTCCTGACCAATTGGCCCCGTTCCACGGCGTTGGCCTCGTCGCTGTCCGGATCGACCGGGGCCCCGATGTCGCCGTCCTCGCTCAGGAGCATGGATAACTTGTTCCTCAAGGGCTTCTTGGAACACGGTAACGTCTGCTCCTCGTACGGCCTCAGGATGTGCGGGTAATGGGCCTCCGGCAACTCCGTCTTCGGCAGCGGGGCTCCCTTGCTACTCCAACAGAGCGGTTTGAAGGTTCCTCTTCTGGTGGCCTCTTGGAAACTTGGGAAACTCGTCTCCCAGTCGTAGCTCATCAGCCGCTCCTCCAACGTCATGCCGTGCAGCTCTTGCGGGGCCTGGATCATCACCGGGCTGGAGCCTCTGCAACGACGAAAGAAAGGGGACCGTGGAGATGCGTGTTACGGGTACGTTATTCGTCGGGAGTGATCCCCCAGGATACTCCCGGGGGTGACGTGAAAGAGACGTCAAAGAGGTCTCGTTTCTGAAACTTCGTCCCCGAACTGGATGTACCGGATCGTTTGAATTTTCAACCTGCCTATGGAGGCTGCAAGGAAAGTCCTGGCCTCCAGGATATTTTAATTCTTTCTAATTTATAAATATTTTTAACATTATTTACACGGGTCTCGGGACCTTCCTTGTAGCCTCTAAATTCACGTTGTAAAGATTGAAACGATTCGGACACCCAGTTTGGAGAAGAGTGATTCATGGAGGATTGACTCCTCGGATGCCACATTCGCATCCCCTTAACCTGCTCTAGGGCAAGGAATGGGTATGGGTCAATGATTGAGAGTGGCGTTAACGGATTGGAACTTACTGCATGAGTTTCTGGATGCCCAGGCTGTGTAGAACCGTCGGCAGAGACGGCAGGGAGTAGCAGAGGGACAGCTCGATACGCGGGTAATAGAGGACCGATACCAAACACGTCTCCTCCCTGGTCGTCAATCCGCCCAAAGTGATCGCCTGTCGAGACTCGGACGAGTAGGTGCACTCGGCAATCAAGTGGTCGCCCTGCAACGAGAAACACATCGAGGTTCGTAAAAGAAACGAGATTTAGGAAGTACCGACGAGGACCGCGAAAAAGACCTCCCACTTACCGGGTAGACCTTAACGGGCCTCTGAAGTTTCCGGTACTCCTGGTAGTTGGGATCGTAGCTGGTGTCCGAAGCGACAGGTGGCAATTCCTCTCCCCCGCGAATCTGGCGCAGACGGACCTTCCTGCCCAGCTGGTGAGTGTGCATGATGACCGCGAACATGTTGATGCCACTGTTGGGAACGGTGTGGCCAGTGCAGTCCGTGACGCAGTGTCCTTCGGACACGACTTCGGGCTGGCCTGGTGGGACGATGTGTCGCCAGTTAGGGTCTATCCCAACACTGAGGATCCCAGCATCATGGGTGCGCAAGCGCTCCGTGTAGAGAAGTCGCAGGCCAGAGCTGTCGCTGATGAAGGCGTCCAGCTCCGGATTGGTGTAATGGGTCTCGAGCATGTAGTAACGCGGTCCGGTGTGCGGATCCAGGGCGTAACCGGCCTCAGCTGGGTAATTGAAGCCCTGTTTGGGGAACACCGAGTTTGTAGCTGGGCAAAAAGGGGGACGCAGCGCGCGAAGCCCCCGGGAGGAGAACGGTATCGCACCTTCGCAGGGAGCTCGCGTGTCCAGGCGCCGCGACCACGAAGAACGGGTTTGCGAGACCGCACGCTGCATCGGTATGCATTACCGTACCACGGGAATCACCGCAAGCGTGGCTTGCGGTAACCTCCGCGTATGGGAATGCCTTCGAACGCGGCTCGGAGGCCGCGATCGTCTTCGGAGCCGCGCCAACTAGGACTCGTTGGTCCCGGGGTTTTGTGTTCTCTGGTCCCTCCCCGCCTAGGTGGGCGCGATACCGTAAACCACCGGGTCCAGGGTGATTTATACACACCTCCGAGCCCAGACTCCACGTGGCGGCGATGGTGTTGCACTGCAAGGAGGGCTGGCTTGGCTGGTAGCACACTGCACCGGTGGTCTTGGCAGCGGCTTCCATGTTCGCCGGGTTTCCTCGGCACTCGTACAACGTCATGTGGTGCAAGTACTCCTGGCTTCCGGGCTGGATGACTGGCTCGTACTGTAACAAGACAAACCCTCGAGTTAACGCCAGGCGAACGGCCAACGGACGCGATGCACTCCGGACTCCTGCTGGATCTTATCTTCCCAGGAAAGGGTCGTCGAGAACGAACGGAAACCATTGGATGGGGGATACGAGTGACGCCGAAAGTCGCTTAACGACCGACTCGCCGACAGTTTTGCCGATCTTATCATCTGGGGAAGGAATCGCTAAGGTCGCAACGGGGAGGTTATGGCCCGTTCCTGGTACCAACCTCTGGGGGCGGCATGCCGGAGACGCATCCGGAAGTAGGGTCACGTTCGATCGAGTCGGAGATCCAAGTAGCTGGCTAACTACCCGAGTAGTTGGGACCTTCCGTTAAGCCTAACCCAAGTTAACCTTCCGTTACCGGGATAGTGCCTTGCTAACGGAACGCCGCAAACCCCGGGAGTCTTGGCCGACCTCCGCGACCTGGATGCAGGAAGATACTCCCGGACCGCCGAGGTGCTTGGGGACGGGAACGAGGGAGACGGGGCCAGGGTGGAATAAATAATTAAAGAGGATTGCCGCCGCGGTCTCGCGGCACCTTCCACCGTCCTCGAGTTCGTTAACTGCGTTACCGTCGCAATTTGAGCTCGACGGTTCGACAGGCCCTAGGGACCGGCGGAAAGAACCGGGAAGACCCTCCGAATATGGAGATCTACGGGGTATGGGAGCCAGGAGACGCTTTCTTCCTTCCCGGAACCCTGGACCGGTCCGCCTCCTGGGATGGAAGTTTGCCGGAAGAGCGGAAACCTGAACTTGACATTTAAACGCGGTTCTCGGGAGACCGTGAGCTAGCTTCTGCCTCCGGTGGAACCGAGAACTGGCTGGCTCGAGTTACCGGGATGGTCGAGACGGTCAAGATGCTCGAGATGGTCGAGACGGTCAAGAGGAGAACTCTCTCCGGCTGACCCGGCACTTCTCTCTTCTACGGAAACTTACCCGCACTACGTGGTGCTTGCGGTGGATGTTGGGCATCTTCAGCACTCGGCACCACAGCAGGGTGTCCTGCTCCATCGGCAGATGAACCTGAAACCAGATAGCAAAGTTGATCCTCGCTGTAATCGAACCCCTCTTGGACGAGATCCTCGATTTTAGGATTCGCCGCGTCGGCGGAAAAAAACGCCCGATCGACGCGTTTCCGCCTGCCGACGTAATTAGGCAAAGTGCGGACGCGGACATCGTCTTCATGTTTTCTTTGCAGGGAATTTCCTGCCGGTTTTTCTCGACGACGTTCCGAGTAAGGGTTTTCCTCCCGGTTAAACGTCAAGATATTTCAGGCGGAAACGCGCGCGTTTCTCCCCCGTCGAGGTGTTGTACGTTTATCGGGCGAAGGCTCGCCTCTGGCGAGTTGGGAGCGGCGCCAGCCGGTAAAGGCACGCTGCTGGAAATACTTTCTGCCCCTGGCTCCTCGAAATTACCGAGTCTTCGCTTAGACGTCCCGAGGTACGAGCTACGTGCGGAGTCACGTGCGACTTATTGTAAGACGCGACCCCGGGAGCTCCATTATGGACTTTTTCATTCCCCGTCACGCCGCCTGTCGAACTCGGGTCGATTCGCGATATCGAGTAGACCTCGTTCCTTCCAAATCCGTATCTTCCGATTCTACCGACAAATCCAGATACACAGAACACGAACTTGTACGAGGCATTGCCTCGCATTGCCTCGTACGCGTTTGCGTTTAGATGCGTACGCGGCTTAACGAGACGCTGAAATGTCCCATGAGAAAGTCATTCATTGTAACCATACCAAACATACTCTCGTAAGTGTTACAATGAGACGAGTACGTAGGGCCGCCGTTTGAAGAACTCTCCGCATCCGGAACGTTTCGCGGAATATAGGTACTCGGGCTGCCCGACTTGTTTTGTCGCCCGGCGAAAATTCCGCCGAGGAGGGAAATTTCGTTTACACGCAAAAACCCTTCCCGACGCCTCCCAGCTACGCCGAGGGCCGGGAGGGGGCATTCCGAATGTATGAATAAATTTACATTTTATTAGCGCTTTCCGATCCCTCGAGCCGACGAGTACCGACGGAAAATTCCAATTTGAGTCCCTTAGCGGCCGATAACCGCGACTGCCCGAGGCTCGGCCGCAAGGACCTCCTGCGCTGCAAGCGCCTCCACCTTGCAGACAAGAGCGAAAGGCTATTAACTTAAAAATCAGTGAAAACGATTTCCTTCTATTTCATATGGTAGACAATGTGATTCGATAGCAAGTGATGATCATCCTTAAAGATCTGACGATGTTTCGATGATTTTGCCCGTTAAAATCCATGATTTCCTGAATGACTAATTCTTCGGACAAAGGTTCCTCCTCCTCAAGTCATTGAAGCACTCTCACCACGTCCAGAATTATGAATTCTCGGTCCATGTTTATGGACTCTCAAGAGCAAAATGAGAGAAAAAAATGTCAGGCTCTTATCCTTCAGGAGAAAATAATTTTTGTAAATTTTGTTAAAATCCATGATTTCCTGAATGACTAACTCTTCGGACGAAGGTCCCTGATCCTCAAGTCATTGAAGCACTCGCACCACGTCCAGAATTATGGACTGTCGGTCCATGGTTATGGGCTCTCAAGAGCAAAATGAGAAAAAAAATGTCAGGCTCTTATCCTTCAGGAGAAAATAATTTTTTTTAGCCGGGGTGGTAGCCTCAATGGCCTCCCGTTCTTGAGTCCAGTCGCCAAGTCCACGTGTCGAGTTCGATCCCGGAATTCTTGTTGCTCGGTTATTTTCACGCCCTCCCGAGGGATCGGAAAAGCTTTGCGTTGTAAGACGACTCGCACGGGTGCGCTTAATGCGGTGGATTGCAATTTCCTCCGGTGCAGTTTGCGGCCCACATTTCGAGCCGGACTTTCTCGTGAGTCTCCGAGTGTGTTATCGATTCGAGTCCGTCGAGAGTCGGCTTGGACGCTTGATTACCTGTTACTTATATTTCTTTTTCCTTTTCCCGGGATCGGAAAATCGGAGACCGCAAAAAGAACGCGGCCGGGCCGTTACCGCGGACGCACTGCGGCATAATCGCGTCCCAGGTTGTTTTGCTTATGGTGCACCTGTTGAGCCGGTGACTTTCCGTCGGGGGATTTAAATCGATCGCGTCGATTAAGCCGCGCTCGCTTTCGGAATTCTAATCGCGAGCGATCGTCGGGTCGATCGATCCCTCCTGCAACCCGTCATTACCCGGGAATTGCGCATTTTTTACTGGGGCGACGGTAATGTAAAATGCAACGCGACTGCAGGAAAAACCGGCTACGGATCGATCGTTTGTCCCTTAACGAGACATCCGATTTCCTTCGAATTGAATATGCAGTCAGAGAGTCATCCGAAGGACCGATTAGCGCATCGACTACTCATAAATCGATTCGGCTCGTTCGATGTACTCAACGCCGGAAATCGTTAAATCAGTAACGAGCCGAGTTACGACCGTCTGAGCCTGATATAAATTAATCGCGAATCGATCGACTCGGAATAATTCAGATTTAATTTACCTCCGCAATTCGGAATCCCCGTCGACGTCCAATAAACGCATACGTACTGAAATTCAGGTTTTACGCGCGGAAAACTAGGGGAAATAGGCTGACACCTACGTTTCTCTTCTTTCTACGTTAAATATACATTTACAAGATACGCGGATTTTAGCGTAACGTTTTAACGTTATTTCTACGTATAGTTAAGGATTATGTTTTACGTACGGACTACGTTCAAACGACGTTCATCTTATACGACTAAACCGATGGTTTAATAAACGTAGAATAGACGTTATATCGATGTTGAATTTTTTTCCTGGATAGAGTAAAACGCGCTTTTTTTGCGACACACTTTATACGATTACCGTCAAAGGGTTTTACCCCATTTCTCAACGTGTAGTCGTAATATAAACGTAAAATAGACGTTATATCGATGTTGAATTTTTTTCCTGGATAGGGTAAAACGCGTTTTTTTTTGCGACACACTTCATAGGATTACCGTCAAAGGGTTTTACCCCGTTTCTCAGCGTGTATTCCACCACTTTGGGGTTATTGGACGTCGACGATCGACCGACTTTCCGCGTCGGATCGACCGCGTTCGCGGGTCGCTACGCGACGACGTCCTGGCTGAATCGAACGTTTCGCGGACGGATAATTCCTGGTGGGTCGGAAAGCCGGACTCGTTCCGCGAATCGAGCGCCGAATTATCGACACCTAACGCTATTTACTAGCTCCGTTCGCGTGCGTTTTTACCGCGCGGAGGTGCGGAAGGCGCGCGCGCGAGATGAACGCGCCAACGCATTTTCATCCGGTCGGGAGTGGATTTTTATCGGATGGAACCTCGTGGCCCGGCATTGTGTACCGAATTTATGGCGATATAAATCCCAGCCGAGGTCGCATCCGGCAAAAAACTATTCGTTCATTAGCGTCGCCGGCCCCGTAGATTATGGCCGCGCTATCGCCGGATCGGCCCGAGCTAATTCCGCGCGGCCGAGTCGCGGATCCGCGAAATGGGTCACCAGTCGGATTTCCTCCGAGATCCTCGCGAGAGACAGGAAAGGACGGTAATCCGTTGGATCGTGTCTAGAATTTCAAATGTCCCCGATTTCTTGATCCCAGGGCGAGGAGAAAGGAAATTCAACGAACCTAAGAACGGTACCAAAGAAATATATTGATAATTGAAAGAATTTCACGGAAATAAACTCGAATAAATTGTCATTATTCCGGCGAAACGTTGCATCTTATTTATTCAAATTTATTCGGGTCAGATAATTATTCTTCGAATTAAGGAAATATTTCTTTGGCTCGATGGCATCTTTTTTTTTCAAATTTATTCGGGTCAGATAATTATTCTTCGAATTAAGGAAATATTTCTTTGGCTCGATGGCATCTTTTTTTTTCAAATTTATTCGGGTCAGATAATTATTCTTCGAATTAAGGAAATATTTCTTTGGCTCGATGGCATCTTTTTTTTTCCGCTCTCCCAGGGTACCGATTCTTGAAGTCGCTCTTAAAAGGTTGCGGAAATCAGAATTTTGGGCGATTTGAATATTGCCGGAAAAAATACGACGACGTCTGAGAACGGTACCAAAGAAATATATTGATAATTGAAAGAATTTCACTGAAATAAACTCAAATAAATTGTCATTATTCCGGCGAAACGTTGCATCTTATTTATTCAATTTTATTCGGGTCAGATAATTATTCTTTGATTTAAGGAAATATTTCTTTGGCTCGATGGCATTTTTTTTTTTTTCGCTCTCTCAGGGTACCGATTCTTGAAATCGCTCTTAAGAGGTTGCGGAAATCAGGATTTTGGAAGTTTTTTGGCCATTTTTTTTTTTCGCTCTCTCAGGGTATTGATTCTTGAAGTCGCTCTTAAGAGGTTGCGGGAATCAGGATTTTGGGCGATATGATATTGCCGGAAAAAATACGGCGACGTCTGAGTTCCTGGTTCGCGACGCTCTGTGTCTGCACCTCGGAAACGACGGCCCGAAAATTCGAGCGAATTGGCGCGGAATTTATCCGGGAAAATTTCCCTGATTGGAGTCGTTATCGTCGATCGCGGCTACCCCTAGTCGAACGGTTCGGGCTAATTCCGCTCGACTTGCGGATTCGCGGAATACGACATCCGACGAGCGTCGGATGTCATTCGAGAAGACGGCGGGTGGTCGACGCTTCCGAACTCCGACGCGGTGGGAGCCGTCGCGACGCGGCCGATCGATCGACCCGAATTCGCTCCCCATGCCTTTGGGAATTAAATTCCAAACGACCAAGATGTTCGCGCCCGGATCGCGGAATTTTCTTCCGAGACGCGCTCCGCAGGGACGTCGCCGCGTCGCCTTTCTTGCCGCAAACTTCCGCCCGCTCCGGAGGACGGAGGGAATCTTTTGCGCGACGTCTACGTCGGAGTCGCGCCCTCGACGACGCTTACTTACTCTCTCCCGTCGCGATGAACAATTTAAAATACTAAAACTCATGAAACTACCCCGAGAAAAAATTAAAAAAAAAATAAAAAGATCCATCGAACCAAGGGAATATTTCATATAGTACCAAAGAATATTTTTTCATTTCATAAAATGAATTTGACTCGGATAAGTAGTCACAATCTCGACGAGACGCCGCGTCCAGTTTATTGGATTTTACTTCGGTAAAATTGTTTTCTTTTTTTTTTTTTTTTTTCATAACCTCTAAATATTTCTCAGATGGAGTGAAGATTTTTCTGATAGCGTTCCAACGCCGACATTTGCGGAAAAATGAATATACGCAAGGGGGTTGGGGCGACAACGGTCGGGGGGAATTTACAAGGGACGCGGAATTTTCATCGGAAATTCGGGCCGAAGGGAAGTCGCCATTTCCCTTTTCATAAGGCGAAGTTGCGCCCTGCGTTCCTTCGGGGCCGCAAAATCTTCTCCCTGACGTCTCGTAAAGCCGCGACGCCGGCGTCCCGTCGCCTTTGTCCACGGCTGATGTATCTGGTTTCCCAACCTCCCACTTCCGCTGTCGACAGTCTTTTGTCTTACGAACAATGTATCATGGCTGTGTTCCAATGCGCCGAAAAACGCATCGGATTAGTTACCCCCGAGGAAGGGAATAAAAATGCAGGACTAGGTGCACCGAGAAATATGAATTCCTTGAAACAAAGAGATATTTCGTTAATTCCGAGAGTAACGACGAAATTTCCCTTAAACAAATTGTCGCAACTCCAGATAAATTTTACGTCCAATTTGTTCGCGCTTATTCGGGGGAAATAATTATTCTCTGAATTAACAAAATAATTCTTCGGTTCGATGAACGTTTTTTTCTCGAGAAATACGAATTCCTTGAAACAAAGCGATATTTCGTTAATTCCAAGAGTAATGACAAAATTTTACGTCTAATTTGTTCGCGCTTATTCGGGTGAAATAATTATTCCCTGAATTAACAAAATAATTCTTCGGTTCGATGGATATTTTTTTTCTCGAGAAAAACGCATTCCTTGAAACAAAGAGATATCTCGTTAATTCCAAGAGTAACGACGAAATTTCCGTTAAACAAATTGTCGCAACTCCAGATAAATGTTACGTCCAATTTTTTTCACGCTTATTCGGGTGAAATAATTATTCTCTGAATTAACAAAATAATTCTTCGGTTCGATGAACATTTTTTTTCTCGGTCTGCAAGTTAATCAAACGCGGGTTAAAACGAAATAAGTGACTTGGCATAGGATGTCATCGTATTCAGATACGTACTTGCGCAGATTTACGCGGGTAAGCCAAGACACCGTAACGCCGTAATGTCCGACATTATTCACCAAATTAAACGAAACACTCAGGCTCCTAATCCGCTTCGTTAATTATCTATTAAATCTCTAATGCTTCCCCATGAATATTAAAAATCCTATGAATAACATTAATGGATTTCATTTCGCAGACCGACGGCTCGGCGTGCCATATTAGATCCGAAATTTCATTAAGGAGGGTACCACCCTTCAAACTCAGAATTAACCTCGCGAGCTTATTGCTCCAGGACTCGAAAAGCCCAACTGATACCAGCGGAGGATATCTCCCTTGTACAGACCGCAAAGTCACTGGAGATAATTGGTTCCGATTTCGAGAAACCAACTTTACATATCCCTTCCCAATAAACGGAAAATACTGGAATTCACGTATTATCCCCGCAAAACTAGTGGAAAAGGGTGAAAAATTAAACCTTTTTTTTATATCAATTGTACATTTACAAGAAACGTTGATATTCCGCGTTGTTTTCGATGCGTTTATCCCTAGTCGAGAAAAAACGTGCTTTAACGTTTTGACGTTGTTTGAACGTATAGTAAAGGATTATGAACGGCTATTCAACGTACAGGGTATTTAACCTTTTTTTATATCAATTGTACATTTACAAGAAACGTTGATATTCCGCGTTGTTTTCGATGCGTTTATCCCTAGTAGAGAATAAACGTGCTTTAACGTTTTGACATTGTTTGAACGTATAGTAAAGGATTATGAACGGCTATTTAACGTACAGAGTATGTTTGCAACATCTTAACGCTCCGCAATTGATCGCATCGCGAAAATGAAAGAGTTCTGAAACTTCGGAAAAGTCGACTCACCTGTTGGTTCAGCACATCCCAGACTTGAAGCGGAGGTTCCAGACCCTGATTGCGCGAAGTGCGCTTAGGCTGTACACCGCGTTGCACTAGGTACAGAGGTCTTGAACCCCGTACCGCACCATGAGCCGGAAGTACTCCCGCTGCGGAAACCGGCTCTTCCGCGTGGTACTGCCAAACGACCTGCATGGTGTCGTTCTGAAAGAGAAAAAAAAATTATTTACATTAGTGAGATGGAAAATAAAAAAACTCGTTACATCAGTAAGATCATCAAGAAGATCGTCAAGTCTTAAGGTGAAGTGAGACGCGCTCAGATCAGTCGATTCTAATAATTCGAAATTTTTCTTAAGGCCATCGGACCGAGCTGTTCGAAATTTTGACACATGAATTTTCCCACCATATTAAAAATATGTATTTTCGAAAAAAAAAAAAAAAAAATTGTTTAACCCTTTGCGATCGGCAAATTTAAGACGTGACTAACATCTACATGTGACAAAAAATAATTCCCTCCACCATTTGAGGGATTAATGACATCGACCGCAAAGGGTTAACCACGATTTTGTGTATACCTATTTCGACGAAAAGGTTTCGATGAGCTGGACAAAAATGACACCGCTAATTAAATTTACCAATTATTATACGAAAAGTCAAAACATTAATTGAGAAAAAATAATGAAACTTTGAAAATAATTTCAAGTTAAATTTTTAAAAGGTGTCTTTTGACACCTATGTCGATCACTATTGAACAGCAATCGAGAAAGTCACATTTGACAGGAATGAAGGGGAAAGAAAAGTGTCACGCGTCGTTATGCTAAAACGGTGAAATTTTGTCGACGTGTTTCAGTTCACCTTAACGATGCCCGAATGTCGTAGGACATTTTGCAAAGAGGCATTAACCACTCGCCGAGTTTCCGTGCCTCGCTCGAGTAACGAACAGTCGACTCGGAGCTGAACCCGTCGTCTCGCCGTTTACTCTATGATTCGCCGGGATTAAGCTTAATTTCCTCGTTCCCGTCTTTGTGCGACTTGCGACGAGTCGGCGACCCGACCGCCGCTCGTTAAGCGGCTCGAGTCATTAAGGAATCCCGCGGAGGATATCTCGCGAAATGAAAAGCTTAGGGACGTGCCCTAGCCGTCGGAGGTTTGCGAACCGCGGAACCGCCTACACCATCTCCTGGAGGAGGAAGATTTGCGCCGAAATATAGGAAATCGTGCCAGGACTCCGAGATACCTCCCAGCTTCCGAGACGCTCCGGATCCAAATTCCACCCCGGGATAACGGCGTGACCCTTTGTGCGAGAAATAACCTGGGGAAACGATAAATCCGTCCGTGGTATGACGAATGGGGCGAGTCTCCGATTATCCCCAATAATGGGAGGTTAAACGTTAAATCGACGAATGAGGAGTTAATTGGTCCCGAGGAGCGAGCCTCGGTTCGAAGCGAAGCTTGGGAACGCGTCCCAACTACCCCGAGCAAAAGACATTTTTCTTCTCTAAAAATAATCTAACCGGAGAGAAATTTCTTTGAATAGCAGCAATGAAATGTTTCGTTAATTCGAGGGGTAATTATTTTCCCCGGATAAGCTGGAATAAATATGAGAATTGATTTGAGTGGAATCCTTTGAATGAACATAGTACTCCTTCGGGTTAAATGAATTTCTTTTTTTTTCCTCGGTTAAATGATTTTCTTTTTTTTTCCTCGGTTAAATGAATTTCTTTTTTTTTCCTCGGTTAAATGAATTTCTTTTTTGTTTTTCTCGGTGTAGCGATTAACGCGTTAACTCTCGAGGTAGAGGCGGGAGCTGGTTGTTAAACAACTCGGAGAAACTCTTCCGCTCTCGGGACTTCCAAAGCGTTTACGATCCTCGGCCGAGGTGGAGGCGCGATAGCCAATTAACGGCAACCGGATCCGATCCTCGGCGCATCCCCCTCGCGCAACCGGAAGGCCCGAATTCAGGAGTCTCGAATTTCCCAAGCTGCCGTCCTCGGCGATCGAACCGCGCGTTCTCCTCCGCACCGCGAGATTCCTCCCAGGGTGGTTTAAGTACCGACTCTATCTCGGATTTCAAAGCTACTATCAGAGTGGTGTGCATTCAGATTCATCGCACATCTCTGAACTCCGATCCCGGCCGTTTGATCTTATTTCGGTGGGGTCCACGTCGAGAAGGTGAGCTCCGACTCGGAGGAGATCTCGCCAGGGTTGATTTTATTCCAGCGAGGAAGGTACTCGGACGAGACCAGGTGATTCGCGACAAGACCCCTGGCACCCTCCTCGGGGGGAAATTATGTTCCAGGGGGTGCGGCAGAGATTAAAGGAGGTGCACGGGAAATCCCCAACACCTGACCGGTCTCATGGGGCTCCCGTCTCTCGGCCACCTAGAGGACCATCCCCTGGATGGCTCGTACACTTCCTCGACGGCCGAAATCACGCGAAAAAAAAATTCACCCTCGCAAATAGAAATTGCAGCAACAAGTGCGCACACTTACAAAACGGGCCAGCCAATTTTCTGAAATACTAAAAACGATAAACGATTATTTCCCTGGGCCGAACAATATTTTTTTCACCTGCTCGGAATTCATTTTTTAATTGAGCAAGCACTGTTTTTTAAGAAACCTCTCTCCAATGGTTGCATCTACGATTCGATGTAATCCCAAGTACTATCGTTGGCGGAGAAAAAATTCACCCTCGCAACTAGAAATTGCAGCAACAAGTGCGCACACTTACAAAACGGGCCAGCCAATTTTCTGAAATACTAAAAACGATAAACGATTATTTCCCTGGGCCGAACAATATTTTTTTCACCTGCTCGGAATTCATTTTTTAATTGAGCAAGCACTCTTTTTTAAGAAAGCTCTCTCCATTGACGATTCGATATAATCCCAAGTACTATTGTTGGCGGGATTATTCCTGCAGTAAGGACGAAATAAACATTTTCAGCAAGGCTCTCCTTTACCGAAAAGACGAGTGTTTGTTTCTTTTCCTCGGGTTTAATTTTGGTTTTTCCTTCACTTCTTTCCGGAGTTCATGACTCGCTTCGAGGAGTAATTCCCGCGGCGCTTAGCCGGATAGAAAATTGATTAGCCTTAGAATGTAATTTTCCGTATCTTAGGCAATTCCGGGCCGGTTAATATATCCGGGTGGACCGCGAAGGTGGAAACCGGGAAAATCTAATCGTTTTAATTTTCCAGGGGCGGGGGAGGGGGCTTGCCCGGCGCTTCCCGTGACACAGCACGCCCAGGGGATGCTCCCGATTATAATGCGCCCAACAACGATCGCGCCCGTCAGCCGAATATAGATTACACCCTCGACAAGTAGGATCGCGTCGGGAGGGTGGATTTATTATATTTCGCGGCGCCAGCAATTGCGTCCGCGCGTCCGCTCCCCAGCAGTTTTGTATCGATTTGACGAAACGCGTCAGCACCTAGGAGTAGCACTCGAGTAATTAGAACCGGTGTCGATGTATTCTACTTTTTTTTTATGACATAATACCGATCCGACGAATTAAAATCTCCACACGGGGAAAAAATAATCGACAGTGTCGTGATAACAAATTTCACCCCACAAACGTGAAGACACGAAGACTGATCAGCAAAGTGCTTGTTCAAAAGTACTCTTGTTATACCCACGACAAGAAAAAAAAAAATAAATAACGATTACTTCACTTGGGCCGCAGAAATTCTATTCAACAAATTCATTTGTTAATTTAGCAAGCGTTTTCTCTGAAGAGTGTCGGGTCGGGTCGTCGAGTCGAAATTGCAAATATTTTTTATGGTGGTTAGATTATTCTTGCGGTAAAATCGGCAACGCTTTGTCAGAGGGGCTAATGTCTTCTTCTTTTTTTTTGTTTTTTTTTTTTACTGCGCTGGAGATTAGAAAAAATATGTATGAAAAGGATTCGAGACCCTGCGATGTAAATGGCGGCGGCAACCCGATACGTCTTAACACTAGAACTACCAAGAGGGGTCGAAATGACTTGTTTCAAACGGCTCATCCTTTACAAAACAAAAAAAAAATATCTGCCGGTCGTTCTAGTGTTAAATACGCCGGCAACCCAATACGTTATGTCGCAGCGTGTAGAACGCGGAGCTCGATCGGTCTCGACACTTCCAGGAAGGTAGATGGTGTCGGCGATTTCTCGCAGCCTTCGACTACCGATCGATCGCGACCGCACGATTAGGAAGGCCCATGGAAGCGAAGGCGTCGACCGATCGACCTACGCGTCACGATCTATCGATTAATCGAGATGCGCCTCTCGGTTCGCATCTCGGGGTTTTCCGTTTCGACCGGCGGGCCATTAAGGTGATGTGAAAGTGGAGTCAAAGAGTCCTCGTTCGTGGTACTCTTCTCCAAATTGGGTGTACCTAATCAATCGAAAATTTACAATATAAATATGGAGGCTATAAGGAAGGTCCTGACCCCCGTGAAATTTCATATTTTATAATAAAAAAAAAATCGTAGATACCTGCAAGAAAATTCTAAAAAAAAATTGGTAAGGTGGTTAAGGTGGGACGAAAGTGGCCTCGCAAATCTTGTTTGTGTAACTTATCTCCGAAATGGGTGTACCGAATCGATTCAGACTTCAGGATATTAATATGGAGGCTATAAGGGAAGGTCCTGACGCCCGTGAAATTTAATTTTTTGTAAAAGATTTTAGAAATACATACAAGATTCTAAAGAAAATTGAAATTTCGTGAGTTTCGGGACTTTCTTTGTAGCCTATGTATTTATGTTGTGAGGGTTGAATTGATTCTGTACACCCAGTTTGGAGAAAAGTGTCACGAGCGAGATTTCTGGCGGCACTTTCGTCCCACCTTAAAGGCCATTTGCTCGAGTAAAGTCGTCGGCCGCGTAGTTTCCGACCTAGAAACGGCGATCGAGTGATTCCAGAGGAAGACGGAAGACCGATAGGAGATAGGAGATAGAGGATGGAAGATGGGAGATAGGAGGAAGAGCGGGCATCGCGTGAAAACCAGGCGGAATCACGCGATATACTCGGCCACTGGGGCTTAAGGTCTTCTCCGTAACTTATTAGGTGATGCACGGAATCAGGGAATTAAGTTTACCCCAGACTAAGAAAGGAAAAGTGAGGTGACTTAGAAAAATATGCATGCCATGCAGACAGGGTAACTACAAGGAACAATTTCTTTCACCGTGCTTGTCGTAACCTCTTTATATACTTTGTTCCTTTACTAACAAGG